GTGGTTCAGTAATGGTATCAGATTTGGTCTCGTATACCGACGCCTGTCATTACACTCCCTGTCCTATACGTAAAGGTGTGGCCCAGAAGTTGACTCTCAACACGACTGTACGCCACGATATATTCCCCGAAGACGTTTTTAACGTAACACTATTTGCCCAGATTCATGGCAAATCATCGGGGCACCTTTTGGAGTGCACCTCGGTCAATGTAGATATACTTTAATAAATTATTATTTTATAATTGTTTGATAATAATTGTTTATTTATAATTATACCTGATGAAGTTTTAAAAAATAAACTAATTAAACAATATTACAATATTTAAATGAAAATTTTTTTAAAAAATACAATTATTTTAAATAACAGCTCCAAGTTTTAAACATACTATTTAATGTATATAAACTTTTAACTTGATTTATTTATTTGTGTTTTATTTTATAAATATATCACTCATACAAAATATTGTTATTATTACAATATAAGTAAAAACACAAAGTAAATTGATGATGAGTAATTATTGATATTTAAAATTACAGACTGCTACCTTGATTAGATACCATACATAAGAAATAATCTATTAAGCTCAAGTGATATCTTTATATTCTTGTTATTAACAAAGCAAAGTAACTATTATAACAATAAAATAAAATAGAAATAACAAAACAATAGAATTTTACTTTCTTATAATAAAATAACAATTATTATGGGCCAAACAAATTCAACCTTGGTTAGTAGAACTCCTAATGAAAATGGTGTGATTCTATGCGATGAGTCTGACGAGGATTGTCAAGGTAAACGACACATAACTTATTTAATTATAAATATGTAACACATAAGGATTAATATGAACTATAAAATTAGTTCTAGATTATATAATCAACAATAAATTAACATATACCTTAAATTAATAAATTTGTTTTTGTTTTTTAAAGTTTTATTTATTTAAAATATAAATATAAAACATTTATATAAACACTAATTTGTTATATTTTAAATATCCACCAACATTAGATGAAACAACCACAGTTAAACAATATAACCTAGCTCAACCTGATGAGTCATCTTACAAACAATCACTGAAAAGCATATTTACCGAAATGGAGAGCACAGTGTTTGCCAACGTAGTCAACACAACCGGGTCGACATCACCAACAGCATCATGGACAATCAACCACCCGGAGCATGTTGATTTAAACAGTTCAAACGAGAAAGCTGACATAAACTACACGACCGATGACCAGGGCGAACTTGTAGGCTCGGATGAATTTTACCAACACGTCAACCAAGAGCTATTGGCGGTGGAGGAGGGGGCGCGTACTTTGCGCCAACGTTTCAACCATCTATGGCGCCTAATACCTAGATGTGAGCGTGGTGCTTTTATGAATTTTTCTACCAAGGTGTTCTCGGTGATCAAATGGCTGTGGGACAAACTGGTGTACATGTTTGAACGGGTGTGCTATTGGGGCGCCCGTGGCTGGCAGTATGTGCGCGATTTGTTTAGCAAAACCTGGAACGATATTAATTCGCTCCTGGTTAGTTATTTTGGTACCGAGAATGCCAAGGTGCTTAAGATTAATTAAAACTTGTAATAATTTAGATGGAATTTATTAATATATTTAATAAACTGAATGCTAAATATTTAAAATGGTTATTATTTACACTGTAAGTTACTACAATAAATATTATAATTCATACTAAAACTGTATTAAATTTTAAAATATGATTTTGATTAAAAATTCAAGGGAAATTATTTATAAAATAAAGTATTTTATTGCTGATTAATCGTTAATTTATTTGATAAATGTTTTATATTAAACATTTGTCAGGGTATAAGTATTTTTTGTCAATGTCTGATAATAATAAAAAATTTTACATTCATTATAAATTCAAAGTTAATTCAAAATTATGATTTATACACTAAAATATTGTATTAACACTAAAAATTATACATTTGTGTAAAAATCAAGTCAAACTAAGCAAATTTTAAATTACAAATTAAAAACATGCGGACCAACGATAACCCCGATTATTCCTCATCATCGGTGTCTGACCAGGAAGACAACGAGGTCGATAATCATGGTGATAATGATGATCACAATGATCAGGATAACTTTTACCATAGTGTAAACTATTGGTGTTCAACCTTTTTTAGTATATCACAAGTACAGATTCACAGTATGTCATAAAAAGGTGGCGCAACAGTCAGTAAAAAAGTTTAGGTTTGTCAATATTAAACAAAAACACCACGTGAAGGTCAATCTAATAGTTTCTCACCCATTTTTAAATAGTGATTGACTTTCAGTCTATCCATAAACGTTATTTAAAACAAAATTTAATTATTAAATACACAATTTAATGAAATTTGTGATATTGTTTGCAATTATCAACAATTTTATTAATATTTGATTCAATCATATTTGATGACCATATTTTAAAACGTGATCTTAATGCTTTTGCGCAAATATTACCAGTTTTGTCATTTTTAAGCGGTTTTATTAGAGAGAAAAATTGTTCACAATTAAAAGTAGATCAAAAATANAGCGGTTTTATTAGAGAGAAAAATTGTTCACAATTAAAAGTAGATCAAAAATATGTTAGAATTGTTTATATGTGTGTTTTCCAAAATATGTGTTTAATATATGCATCCATTTAAATGATTAATATTTCATAATTTAATCGTTAAAATGTAATTTTAATATTGAGATGACACTTGGCTTTACTACTCCAACTTACTAATAGTAAGTACGTTGAACACCTGTAGTGTAAACGATTGGCTAATGGACCAGGAGAGATTTGCCCGCACCTCTCGATATGTTTTCAACGCGTTGTGGACGGTAGCGTCTGAAAGTGGACGTGGTCTAATCATGACCTGTTGTGACATGGTCATTTCATGGTTCAACCGACTTGTTCATAGACTCGTTGGTTCAATGGAACGCAAATTGTAATTATTTCGATTTATAAATGATTATATAATTGTAATATATAATTATATGTAATAAATATTTGAATTTATTATAATTGGCGTGGTTCAATTAATTTTTTAATTGGTGGGTTTAGTATTTATAAAGAAATTCAATTTACAATTACAAGCTAAATATTAATCAGCAATATTTAGAAACAATTATTAGTTTATATGTAATATATTAAATGCTATTAAAAATGTAAATCTAGATTAAATCAATCAGGTTAGATCCAGTTGAAAATAATTATTATAATAATGTTTAAATGGTTGTATCAAATTTATGTTGAGTTTATTATTATACCGATGTGCTTTAATTAAATATCCATAATATAATTGTATTATAGTATCAATCATTAGTTAATTGTGAACATACAGTATATTCGATTACCATTTAATGTTATTGTTAATTGGCATAATTGTGTTTTGATTAAATAATATTCTTGGTCTAACTACAATTCTAACATTATTATTATTATTATTATAATTAGTGTTGTTGATATTATTATTTTTAATGATTATGGCATTATTAAATTGATTACTAGTTTTAACTAAAATGCTGTGCAAATTATTTTTCAAATTAAATTTTATAGTCATTTCTTTTAGTGTTTTCGTAAACGCAATGATAGAGAATCCAAACCATTGCCCATAAGATGCATTATTTGTTCAAAACTTATATTTAGCTAATAATATTAATATGTTATACAGTATGTCTTAATCTTATGTAAAGT